CAATCCCAGAGATGGCAGTATTATTAGACAGTTATGAAGTGACTTCATTTAGAGAGTCAACCTTTATTTTCTGAATGCTTTGAATTATCCCTTGCTCTGACAGCCAGCTCCAATGTTTCAGTTCCTTTCCTTCCTGAGCACTCTCCTCTCGCTGCGGTGATTTCAAAGTAAAAACATCTTGACCTGTAGGCTACCATCATGACATTAATTTTCATACCATCTAACCTAACTTCTTCTCCACAACATCAAAACAACAGGCATCCCATTGAAAAACTCCTGCCTAGAGGATAAAAATATTACTTTGAGCAGAGGTGAGTTGAGTTGTGGGCTCACATTTCTAACCAATAACATAACCACTACAGTTGTGTGTGACAGTAATAAAGTGTGGGCTACTGTTGCATATTTGCGTGTGAAGCTTGGAAAGTTGAGTTCAGTGTCACTACCTCAGTCAGGTATTCAACAAAACTTCTAGCAGATGCACCATCTGGTGAAATAGACTCCAACCTATTTTGTGTTCTGACATGAGCTTTTTTTTGGGGTCTCTCAAATTTTTGGTTCTTGTACACAGCACTTACTCCATGAGGCACCTCATCTCAAGAAAAGTATATAACTATTCTCTGTATCCCACATCCTGGCTTCCCAAAACAGGGCAATTCACCTTTGCTGCACTTCTCACAGTAAGCTTTCCAGAACCACACCGGAAGATGGAAATTCCCTGGATCATTAACCACTAGCCACTTGCAGATTCCATTCAGGGAACAATCAAACAGCCTTTTAAATAATAACTTCAGCCTTTCACGTGCTCTGCTCACTTGCCCCTGGAAAACAGTTGGTCTCAACTCAGCACTTTCTAACAGCAGCTAACATAAGCAACTCAGTAGAACCTTGGACACCATAGCAACGTGCATTACAGCACACCCACACCATGTGACTAGGCCATCTGCTGACATCAATCCTAAAAAGCACACGACAAAGGCCAGCATGCACTGTCAAGTTATCACATGATCAACGCTGAATTAACCACCTCAGAATGATTAATGTGCAGGTTTATTAAGGGATGATAAATAACAAATTGCAAGGAATTATTCAACACCACCAGAACATTGTGGCTATTGTCATAAAAGAGCAATCATGTTAATTTAGGTCTCACTTAAAATTAAATACAGATCACTGCTCATCAGAAGTAGGCACCAAGTTCAGAAAAGGGTCAGAACAGACCAATGCATCTGGTAAAGCTCAACAAAGATTGTCCACGTTTTGATAATAGCTGCTCTAACCAGGTAAAAATAAGAGCAATTTTAACTCTCCGAACACAAAAGGAATAAAGACACAGGAAGTGTTTTTGCTTTGCATCTCACTTCTCGTTAGTTATGCCTGGACTCTTGCCAACTTACATTTGTGACTTAGATTTTGACTTTAATCAAATTCAATATTTTGTCACAAAGCTTTGAAACATCAGTTATCTGGGGAAGGGCAATGGTGGTTAGTAAAAACCACAAAAGCACAGGAAAAATATAGATTGCTTGTCTTTATAACTACTATTTTGACTATGAGCTACGATGCCCTCAATTGTAGCCACAAACCAACTTAAAATGCATAGATCATCCTGCAGCTCTAATGATTATTCACATGTCTCATATAGAGATCTGGGCTTTAGAGTTGGGATGATCACAAATACTGATTCCAGATTTCAAGCATTAAATCATCCAAAACGAGAAAGATATATTAAACCACAGTCAATTAATGTTCTTGGCACCCACAATCATTTTGGCTTCTAAGACATGTGCAGTGAAGCAGGTCCCAGTGACAGACATTTCATCTCAGCAGTATAGACTAAACCCAACCACAACACCATGTCTTCCTTTAGCACAGCATGGAGTTGTAACATTCAATGAAGGCTTCTGATAGTCTCTCACTCTTGTAGGTGTTTTTACCGATCTTTCCTAATAACTTGAATTAATTTGTTTCAGATCACCCACAAAATATGCAAATATATGAAAAGTACTTAGTCATGCCAGAGCAACAAAAGGTATGGACAAAGTTAAAGTAAGTTATTGTGTTCTATAGCTATCCTCACACTTTGCCTCCTATAAAGACTATTGCATTCTCCCAGTTCTTCCATCTCTGTCACATCTGTTCCAGAAATGCCAAATTTGACAAGGGAGCCTCCGAAATGTCCACTATCTTCTTCAACCGAGGATTCCCCAGCACTGTTGACTGCTTCACAGAACACCTGCGTTCTGCCCACAAAACAAGACCCGGAGCTTCCAGCTGCCTGCCACTTCAACACAGGACCATGTTCCTGTTCAGGCCTGCTGCAGTGCTCCAGTGAAGCTCAGAGCAAGCTGGAAGAACACCACCTCATTTTCCACTTGGGAACCCTGCAGCCTTCCAGACTCGATATCGAGTTCAAAAACCTCAGGGCTTGAATTTCTCCCATGTCCTTACCCCATCTGCACACTTCAGACCTTGTTATCAGATAATCTGCTATTACAGGTAACTCATTGTTAGCCGCTAACAGTCCCCACCAATAGCTATTCATCCTCCGAGCCTGATCACTATCCACTCCTTTGTCTGTCCTACTGTCCTTCTCTCTCTCTGAGCTCTATCTCCACCTGTTGTTTACTCCTTATCCCTCCCCCAACTCTATCTTCTGCATAAAAGAGCATTTTCCGAGCTATCATCAGTTCTGAGGAAGGGTCACTGGACCTGAAACGTTAACTCTGATTTCTCTCTACAGATGCTGCCAGATCTACTGAGCCTTTCCAGCAGTTTAGTCATAGAGCCATAGAAACATACAGCACGGAAACAGACCCTTTGGTCCAACTCGTCCATACCGATCAGATATCCTAAAATAATTCTAGTCACATTTGCCAACATTTAGCCCATATCCCTGTAAACTCTTCCTAATCATCTACCCATCCAGACACCTTTTAAATGTTGTAATTGTACCAGACCCCACCATTTCCTCTGGTAGCACATGCTACACACACACCACCCTTTGTGTGAAAAAGTTGCCCCTTAGGTTCCTTTTAAATCTTTCCCCTCTCACCTTAAATCTATGCCCTTACGTTTTAGATTCCCAAACCCTGGGGAAAGACCTTGGCTATTCACACGATCTATGCCCCTCATAATTTTATAAACTTCTATATAGTCGCCCCTCAGCCTCCGATACTCCAGGGAAAATAGCCCTAGTCTATTCAGCCTCTCACAATAGCTCAAAGACTCCAATCCTGGCAACATCCTTGTAAATCTTTTCTGAACCCTTTCATCCTTCCCATAGCATGGAGACCAGAACTGCATGCAGTATTCCAAAAGTGGCCTAACAAATGTCCTGTACAGCTGCAACACGACCTCCCAACTCTTATACTCAATGCACTGATCGATAAAGACAAGTGTACCAAACTCCTTCTTCACTATCTTACCTACCTGTGACTCCACTTTTCAAGGAGTGTTGGTGTGCAGCCTTTTTACTGAGGCAATGTATTTGAAATACAAAGTGAACAG